ATTTACATTTTACATGCAAGTACATATTTGGCACAATTAATTAGTACAATTAATCATGCCCCCTGACTTGCATGCAATTCTATATTTTAAGGGATTTTCCTATCACTAAAGCAAATCAAGTTTAGTTAAATTGGTGGATTTTCTCCGCAAATATTGATATGTGATTAGAACTTAATTTGATTAATTAGAAACATTTAATAAATTCAACTAAACAGATTAACAGCCCTAGTTTTAAAATGTTATCTGCCATTTAAACAGCTTTCTCATCCAAAGTATCTAACAGTACCAGCTACAAGGACAATCCCCCTGGAGCAACCCAGGGTTAAGTGAAGTGCTCTAGGGCACAATAACGATAGAGGATCCCAGACACTCCATCAGAATACAGTGTCTCTGATTAAATGTGAACTTATGACCTTTGGAAACAGATACTATTACCAGCCCAGCTCTATAACTACTAAACGAGCACCACCCCAAATGATAATGGCATTATAGTAATTTATCAGAGAATATAAGAGTTTGTCTAGATTTGTAGTTTCAGTAGATTACAGTAATCTAAAGTAATTTACAAAAATTAACAGCACTCTCATAGTAATAATGACAGCAATTGCCTAAATCCAAAGTGCTCCCAAGCTACTGCTTGCATCCCATTATGTGATATTGCAAACGAGAGTTTAAAATGAATGCACATTATGAGATGGATGCAAGCCGACACATTCCCATACTCTCATCCAAACAGAGCCAGATTTGTTGGATATTACAACACCCCACAGGGAATATCACACATGCGATCTCACACAGCTACTGAGCGCTTCTGAGCTATCGCTTGCCTTGATTATCGATGATGCCACAGATTTTCAACACTTTCAATTCATTTCTCCATTTTCATTCTCAAAGAGCTGTGCAGAAAAGAGTTTCATGTATGATCAATATAGTGGTCCAGCATGAGCAGTAGGCCATAATTTGTGTTCTCCTCATCGTTCTAGGACAGAATAGAGCTGAGCTCAGCAAAAGCCGATGATTTAGCGTTGCTTTGGTGATGGTTCCACTGTAGCGACAAAGCTTCTGAGATTACAAAAGAATATATATGTTGAAGCGTGCAGTCTGTCAGTTGCAGTACTGTAGCACGACAACAGAATGTTTGTTTCTCCATGGATCCATAGAAACACGTTTTCTGACCTCATAATCACCAAAGATCATGACCAATTGCAAATAGTTTTCTAAAAGGCGTATGATCAGAGGCATGCATGCACGCATTTGCACACGCTCTCAACATGCAGATCTGAGCAGTGTGTCCTGTTTATTGGAGGTCAGGGCTCAGTTCTGCAATGGTTCAATAGTGGAAGTGAAACCGACTGCTCAGTTCACTCTCATGAGCACAAGACTAACTCGCAGTCTCAGTACGATGGAATGTGTGCTCCCTTGACAGCGTTATTAATTCAGATTTGCACAAGCTAGACTGTGACAAACCCATAATGTGTGGTGGAGGAAACGACTCTAACTGGCATATTACTCAAAAATATTGCATTAAACAGCATGACACATCTCTATGCCAGATTCTCACCAACTCTCTGTATAAAAAGCAGTGAAAACTCATTCATAATCACCAAAGATCATGACCAATTGCAAATAGTTTTCTAAAAGGCGTATGATCAGAGGCATGCATGCACGCATTTGCACACGCTCTCAACATGCAGATCTGAGCAGTGTGTCCTGTTTATTGGAGGTCAGGGCTCAGTTCTGCAATGGTTCAATAGTGGAAGTGAAACCGACTGCTCAGTTCACTCTCATGAGCACAAGACTAACTCGCAGTCTCAGTACGATGGAATGTGTGCTCCCTTGACAGCGTTATTAATTCAGATTTGCACAAGCTAGACTGTGACAAACCCATAATATGTGGTGGAGGAAACGACTCTAACTGGCATATTACTCAAAAATATTGCATTAAACAGCATGACACATCTCTATGCCAGATTCTCACCAACTCTCTGTATAAAAAGCAGTGAAAACTCACGATGTGAGTCATACTTCGCAAGGGAAATGCAGAATATTCTTCATGTTGGCAGGTAAGATCAGCCACATTGTCCTGATTACACGGCTAATGTAACAGGCGGACATCACCAGCTTTATCCAGAGAGGAAAGCTAGTTTCGACCAGAGGGAAAGGCTGTAAATGTGAGTGACAAGAAATAAACAAGAAAGCGACTGTGAAACTGCTGCAATTCACAAAGCCCAGTGTAAAGCCAGGCCCCAGGCCCACCCGAGGGGCGTATGATGATGTCCGAAAAGCAAGTTTAACAGGATAGCGTGTAAAAGGCACTTTTTGATGTGTTTATTTTAGTGTCTGAACGGACAAATGAGAATTTATTTTATTAGAAGTCTAAAAATGAAACTGACATTTTAAAATGAGATCACAGAGGAGTTATTAGGCTTACGTCATTCCGCTGTGATTTGCAGATGAATACGATATTTAACTGCGGATGCCAAAGGACTGCATCCACACAGGAATGGCATGCTGGGCGCAGATGATTCACCGGCGGAAAGCAGTTATTTGGGACTCTGTGTGTCAGCTATTATAAACCTACCAACCTTCCTAACTTGAGCGAGGGAGGGTGGCAGCGCTCAAAGATGTCAAAAATATAACAACTCCCCCCTCCCTCATACTGTACTGAGAAAGTAATGATGAGTAATGATTTGTTAATGTAGAGTAATGTTTGTAATGATGAGTTTTATAAACGTAATTTAAAACGTAGGTTTGCTCAAGAGGTTCTAAATCATCACAAGCACATCATGGTCTGAAATTACGTTTGCTTTGTTTGACGATAGTTTTTTTTAATCAGATTTTCAATTGGCACGGAAATGAAAATGCATGTGTTAAATAGGAAAGAATATTACAAAACAAAAGAACAATGAAAATCAGTCTACAGTGACAGAACGGCCTCTGCATTCAGGAATAAAAGGAACTCATGCGGGTGGTAAGACGGGGCCCTCTCTTTTGACAGGGGTCATTTAGATAGACAGATCAACAAGATGCTTTTAATCATCCTTTTAACAACTAACTACCGTAATTTAAGTTGCAATCAAGGCCCAAGGCTTTCTATAAAACATTTATTAAACAGTCTGAACGAGAAAAAGAGCACAGTTTGTGCAAATATAAACCTTATTAACAACATTATAAAGTTGACAGCAGGACAAGAGGTTTCTGTACAGAATTAGTCAGGAGCCCCCTGGTGCCACAGTACATGTAATTCTCACCCTTAACCACAAACTAGTGAGTGGTGGACTGCTCTAGGACCATGCCATGGTGCACATAGTAACTAAAAGACGAACCTGACAAACAAATCGTGAAAATTGACATTATGCTTAGATAGAGCTAAACAAATGGTTTGTATTGTTGTGTGTGCTGTTTTACACTAACATGTTGGGTTGTTTTTTATATACTTAACTATTGGCTTACACATACTGGGCCATTTCGTTGGGTTATTTTGGTCAACCATTTAACTATTTAAATAGCAACGGTCCAGAAAAGGATCTGTAGGTGTGACAGTAAGTTTCTCTTGCTTGTGTAGTCTCGCTCACTACATTTTGTTAGACATTAGCAGTCCAATATAATTTTTACACAACTCTTCACTCGTAAGTGATGGTCAACTTTCTCTTTTAGGCCAACGAAATGGGCGATATCAGTTATCAGTGTTGGGGAAAGTTACTTTTAAAAGTAATGCATTACAATATTGCGTTACTCCATTAAAAAAGTAACTAATTACGTTACTAACTACTTACTTTTTATGGAAAGTAATGCGTTGCGTTACTTTTGCGTTACTTTTTCAATCTGGACAGGGCTTGCTTATTTGTTTTTTAAAATAAAAAAGTGAAATGTAAACCAAACCAAACCAAACGTGAAATGAATAAGCCTCAGGCTGAAGGAAATGCTCATTTGCGTCCGTACAGTAGAATGTAGAAGAAGACGTTTCAACACACTTCAGCAATAAACAAAGACACACAAATGTTTGTCTAGAGTAATTTGTGCTTATTAGTACGGTTGAACTGAATCATCGAAGACATTGGTTAGTAGAATGGGATTAAATACATAAAGGATATTTGTGTTGTTTAACATTTAATTATTGCAGGTTTGCGTCATATTCTGAGTTGCATTATTTAAATTAAATTTGAGGAATACTGAATCTGTGTTTTTTTTGTGAGTGAGATGAATTAATGCATATTCATATTTATTTTAGATCTACAGTAACATCTGATTTCTCTCAACATGGGGACAGGAGAGCCGTCAATCAATAAATTGGAAAAAAAAGTAACTTGCGTTACTTATTTGAAAAATTAACTCGGATATTCTCTTGTAAATTAAAAAGTAATGCGTTACTTTACTAGTTACTTGAAAAAAGTAATCTGATTACGTAACTGGCGTTACTTGTAATGAGTTATCCCCAACACTGTCAGTTATGCATCGACTCTTGATGTAAATCTCTCGATATCTATTGGAGTAATCTGGTTAATTTAGAGTTTAAATGAGAGAATTCATATAGAATACTTACGAGTTTTATTATTATTATTATTATTATTTGTCTCAGAGAAAGTCTCTAAACAACTGTTTCTCAAATATTAAGGTGGAATTGTAAAATGAGCCTATTGCATCACGGTCGTATTCACATGAACGTATCAAAAATATATTTTTTCTAACGAGATATATATATTAATAACCAACAGAACCACTGTAAAATCATTTCGCAAGCCACAGGTATCCCATTGCAACGGAGAAGTAGCGACTACCGAGTGCGAGCGTAAACTTGAGCAGTTATTAAAGCAGAACTAAAAGGCTGTATTTCATATGTTTGGCAAAAATAAAAGAATGACGGTCTGACAGCCAAAAAAAGCAACTGACGCCATAAATTGTTACTGTTAACCATTTTGCCTTAAGCGCGTACGAGCCGCGAGCGTTTCCAGCACCGTGCGTGTCATTCTAACGGACGCATGCCATTCCAGAAACATTACCTTCGTCGAGAAGCCGTTCGAGGTGGTTGAAGATCCCGCAGAAGTTGGGCAGACTGCTCATCAGTTTCTTATCGTTCATGAGCTGCATCAGATAATCTGGGGTCGGCTTGGGCTTCTCTTTCGTTTCCATTTCCCCCACCATATTCCACAGAAATCACCACCGACGCCCCAAAATAGACGGAAAAAGTCCCAAAATAAATAAAGGCTTGAATATAAATAATAAATAGAGTACAAAAACGCAAGTGAAGAAGGCAAGTGCCTGACTCGTCCGCGGACAAGGCGGCTGTCTCTTGTCTTTACGCACAGTCCGCTGCTGCAATAGGCAATTCGGGAGATGGCAGTTGTTTAGTGCAGCTGATGAACTGAAATTAAAATGAAATCTAAACGCGTGGAGAGAGAAGCCAGGTCTCCTTTCAGAAACAATTCCCCATAAATCCCACAAGTTAGTCGTAAAGGCGACTCCCGCGTGCCCAGTGCGCCTTTTAAGATTTATTTTAGCGAGAGATTTGTCCTTAACTTCCTCTTGAGGCGATGCAAATGCACCTTTCCCCGAGTTCCCCAGAGCTTCCTGTGTCTTGTCTGTCTATGTGTGCAGCGCTAGAAACGTCTGTCCCTCCCGTCTCTCACGCGCAATGAAGGCGCTTTCTCAATGAGATTGGCATTCGGTCCTCCGTTACCAGCTCTTCTTGCGCTCGCGAGCCCGTCACATGATCACACTGAGCCCCAGCAGGCAGAAATCGTACTGTGGGAGGAGAGGGAGAGAGAGAAAGCGAGGGAAAGAGAGAGAGAGAGAGAGACACACTGTACATTTGAAAAACAATTAGCCCATTTTAAATGCGCATCGTTTCTGAAGCATGTCTGTAATATATGCATCTGGCGTATTGTGATGAATGTCTACTATTCCATAGAGATGCCATTTTTTCTACTGGGACGGTGAACGTGAATGTCTATCCATTCTTCAAAACGCTTGTCCTAGAGTTATCAGTTATCACAATGTCTGTGTTATCAGTGTGTTTGTTCATTTTAATCCCTGTCATGTCGTTCGGAGAAGATATGGTTTGTGTTCATTTAAACACAAACTAGATGTTGGACAAATTAAAAACTAAAATTGGTCATTCAAAAAGATGTGCATATGTGCTGCTGTATGTTATTATAAAGCCATGCAATTAGGTTAGTATGAGGAACAGAGTCAAGATAAGTCGTTGTATTAGTTTTGTCACACTTTTGTTTTTATTTATTTATTGTCATAAAGTGCAGCTCAGACAATCTACCAAATATCTAATTTAGGTTTTCACTGAAAAAAAAATGTTAGTTTAAAACAATAAAGGGTATGTAATCATTAAAAAGGGTTACATTTATTCACCAAGCAAAATTAAGTTAAATCTTTCTTTCTTAAGTTTTAAATCTTTCTTTAGATTCCCTTGAGATAAGTCGTTGTATTAGTTTTGTCACACTTTTGTTTTTATTTATTTATTGTCATAAAGTGCAGCTCAGACAGTCTACCAAATATCTAATTTAGGTTTTCACTGAAAAAAAAAAATGCTAGTTTAAAACAATAAAGGGTACGTAATCATTAAAAAGGGTTACATTTATTCACCAAGCAAAATTAAGTTAAATCTTTCTTTCTTAAGTTTTAAATCTTTCTTTAGATTCCCTTGCCAAAAAGTAGTATACTTCAAGTTTATTTTAGTAAGTATTTTGTATATATTTTGTTACATGAATATCTGAACATACAAAACATCAAAAGAACAGGGTATCTGCTTGTAAACAAAAACATTTTATTATAGCTTCAAGTATTATTTTTTTTAAACACTTGAATGTGGGCATGTGGAAGCATCTGTTGTTTCGGTTTCTTCTTCACTTGTGTTTTTTGGAAATTCTAAGATGTGTACTAGCGCCCCCTACATTATAACAATGAAAACACGGATTCTAGGAGCACAACTATAGCTAAAATATATTTAGACTTTTTCTAAGTAGGCTATAAGTCAAGTATACTTAAATGTAAAAGTATATTTCTGAGAAGTACATAAAGCCCATTTCTGAGAAGTACATAAAAAGTAGACTAAAAGTATACTTTCCTATTTTTTAGTTTAAAAGAAGTATACTAATAGCACACTTGAATAAACTTCTTTTTCGTAAGGGTTCTACCTCTTACATTTACCATTTAGTAATACTGCTTGTTTTATTGAGAATGAAAGCTCTGTCCTTATTGTCTTGAGGTGTTTGAGAACCTGAGCGTGTATTGGTCACATGGATCTAATGTTAAAAGACTAATTTGTCCTCTTTGGGCAAGCTGGATGGGAATAGTGAAGTAGAAGAAGTGCGACTGACTAAACACCAGCGCACATCAGAACATACCACAATGGTAAAGAAGAAAACAAGGCATTTATCTCAATAGGAGGACTTCCTCTGCAGAAAAAAGAAATCATTACACAATGTGGATGGAGGCTAATGCTTTGTCAATATGTGCCAATACTCAACTAACGCTAACGCTATGGGAACAGCTCCTCCCTCTGGATTAGAGCACTTTTTAATTTACATAATTAACATTCTTTTTTGTCCCTATTGGAGCAGGATAAGCAGAGAGCTACAGAGATTTAAAATTTGATGTGCTACATTTTCATTCCCAGCATTCATTCTTTGCTTTAATGCAATGCATTTGATTTTGAGAAATAAACACCATGCCCTAGTACCACACTTTGAAATAGCAAACATGTACAATTTCAGAAAGAACTGAAGTTATTTTCCCACAGAGTAAGCATAATTTATGACTGCTTAAATCCCTTCATTACTATGTTTATATAAATACTCTAATTGGCCTAATGGTTTTGTCACTTCTTTTGTTATGCAAAGCAGTTCTCATGCATGGTGCTGTTCGGCTTTTAGATGCAGCCATGGAAGCAATTGTTCCAGTCACCGATTGAAGTTACAGCGGTCCATCACTCCAATTCACGTGACCGAAATAAAACGATGCACGTATGAGAAACAGCCGGAAAACAAAAAAAGGGACAATGTGGAACAACACACCAGAGGGCTGAGAAGATGAGGGTAGAGAGGGCTGGCGGCCCAGTATCTGACAGCATGGAAACAAACGACCCACCAGAACAGGAAGGGTTTGTCCAGGTCCTGCCCAGCACCTTTTCATCCTTTTGTGATGCCCAGGGCTTTCACATGCAGATCGCCTTGGACGCAGAGGCCTGTGTTAGGGCGCCTTGCCCTCCTAACTACAGAGAAAAAGGGGTGTATTTACCCCTCACCCCTTCTTCAGCGAGAACTGCCCCTCCACCCCGCAGCTCTCTGCTCACTCGCTTGCTCTCCAAATGACGGAAGCCTTGTTTGAGAGCAGAGGAATTACGTTAATGAATGCATTCCTTCACACATGCACCCTGAAACCGGGCAAGCTTGTCTCTGTTTGGTTGAACCAGGGAACAAGTGCACTGTCGCTCTCAAACCCTCGTCCTTTCATCTCACTCCGGCTCCCTCTTTTTAGCTCGATCGCTTTTTCACTTGTTCGCTCTCCTTCAGATATCCCAGATCCCCTCGTAAACCCCCTTCTCTATAAGTGCATGTGACCAGTATGTGGGTTTGAGCCGAACATGAAAACAGCCTGTAAACTGAAGAATCCAGACACAGTCAAGGAAAAGAGGAGTCTTCACTGTGGTTGGTTACACTTCATTTACACTATTTGCATGTTTTTGAATATAAATATGAAGAATAACTAGCCAAAATGATGTCATTAGTATTCAAAAGTACACACACACACACACACACACACACACACAGACAGCAACTAAATGAAATGTGTTTGACTTATACTTTATAAAAATGTAATTTCATGAATTACGGTCAAATAGGAGCTCTGCTATGGAACTGTGTTAGAGTACTGAACTCAATAGTCAATATGTTGATATTGTACATTACTGTGCCTATAAAAATGTACATACACATTTTACATACTCAAAATAAGCATAACAGCCCTCCAGAGAGCTGAAAACTGTTACAGTAATAGGAACAGCAGAAGCTTATTTAAATGTAATATTGCTTGGATTTTCATTTTAATGGTTAACATTTTATAGAAAATATTTAGGAAATCAATGTGTTGATGTGTCCTCTACATGTGAAGAATCTGTGCAATTATAGTTTTGTGAAGCCAAGCCAGAGTGCATTAAATTTAATTCAGTCATGAATGATTGAATGCATTACTGAAACAACCATGAAACATCAATAATAATTTCCATAACTGAGCTCCAAGGCTCATTTCCAGTGCAAAATGTCTTATTGAACACATTACTAAATTTGATCATGTTCCACAAAATAAATCGGTCATTAGTTCCCATGGCAGCCCTGTGGCTCAGTGTACACTAAACATCCATGAGCAGATCCCTCAGTGAGAGACTGTGCCACCTATAGCCACAAAAATCTCACAAAAAGACATATCAGGTTGTCTCCAAGTTGTTTTTTTTTTTTGCTGGCCGAGTCTTTTGTAACATGAAGCCGCTGTGTGCTAATTTGACGCGCTGCAGAGATAAAGGGGGGAACTCACGTTAGTTTCAGCATCAGAGGATCGGAATGTGGGCCATTTAATGCAGGAGTCAGACAATTCCTCTCGGACAGACCCACATGGTTAAATGAATAGAGAAGTAATTAACAGAAAGCCTTGACTCACCGGATAAAACAATATTCAAATCAGAGAGACTGAGACAGAATGATAAAGGAGGCTGAATGGTAAAAGATTATAGTGTTATGGAATTGCAAATTATGAAGAGGAGAGGATAAAGCAATAAACAACTAACTAACATAGAGATCTGAGAATAGAGATAGCAGAACTCAATTAAAAAAAAAAGGGCTGCTATTTTGTTTTGTCATTGAATTAAATCTTACAAGCACATGTATACATAATACATGTACTGTACTGTTGGTGGCCATTTTTGTTTTTGTTTAATTCATATTCATATTAGATTAGAGTGAAATCTAGAGACAGTGCAACTTTATGACGTGTCTCTAAAAGCTTCATTGGAAATTGGCTTAAGTACAATGTTTATTTAGGAGTTCAGAGTTAATGCACGATCAATTAGTGAAATTTAGGCAAATTTTTGTGAGTAAAAAAGGTTTATCGTCAACAGTGTAGCGAAGCATGAAGCGCTGCATACACAAAAGTCACTTTAAATCTGCTTTCTGCTGGCCAATGAGGCGGATTTGCGTAACCAAATAGAACACAAGCAAAATCTGCACAGAGAATATGAAACTTCACATCAGAGTGAAACATTTCACCCTCAAGTGAAACATTATATCATGTGAATTTCTATTGAAATGACTGGATTTAGCCTGCTAAACTTTGCAGAGCAACAATACATGTGACTGGATCTTAAAGATCGCAAACACTATGAGACACAGAGAATATGGCATATACAAAAATATACATTAGGTGGTCCAAATTATTTAATTCACCCAAAATGAAAATTCTGTCATTATTTTCTTACCCTCACGTCATTTCAAACCTGATTTACTATATTTTCTTTCTTCTGTGGAACCCAAAAATAGATTTTCTAAAGAATGCACTGGTTGCTCTTTTGCATGCAATGGAGACCAGACCTTTAAGCTTTAAAATGAATTCAAGAGCATGATGAATGTATCTTAAAGGCGGTCTGTGAGGCCTTGGATTACATGCTTCTGAAGTCACATGATAGCTTTGTGTGACA